ACATTGCTCTCTTACTTCTTGGCTCTTCTGAGAATGTGATTTCATTAGTAAATCCTTTAGCAACCCAACTAAAATCACAGTGTCTTTCTTTAGCTTTACCCTCAATCCCCATTTTCTCATTTTCCTGTTATTATTATGATTAGATACACCAGGTAATGTTACCTATATATTTTGTGTATTTCCTTTCTCCCATTAAAAAATTACCTTCATGAGGGTGAAAACTAGTCTGTTTGTTGGTAGCTATGTCTCTCTTGCTTTTGTTATGGGAATCTTTCTAGAATAATCATTCCACACCAATGAGAGTGGAAGAGAGATGTCACTGGTGGACCTAAACCAGGACAGCTCTTGAGAAGCTTCAATCCAGAGCCAAATTTGTATTCTCATTTTATATTCTGAAGCCACACGTGGGATGATCAAGTAAGCACGATTGGACAGAAGTTTACATGGCAGTCAGTAGGTTGTTAAGAGCAACAACCCATTGTTTCAGCTATTTCTCCAGGTCTTTTTGTTCCAGGTAGCAAGTGAAGTCATACTTGGCAAATAGACAGTAAAAGTAGTGCTTTAAGTAAGTCACTAAGTAAACTGACAAATCAGCATCTAGAAATTGGTCTTTTTTACTTTATTCTACTTCACTTTGAACACAATCTCAATTAGCTGTTGACAATTTGAATGCCTCCATACCTTTATAATAATCCTTCTGAGATGTCTTTAATGGGTAACTGCTTATCAATCTTCCCTTTGTAGTATAACATTCTGCCAAAGAGATTTTCCTCCATGTGAGGATTCAAATTATGTTTATTAAAATAAAAATACTAGTATTTTTACTAGTTTACTCTGATATAAATGCTTTATTTGTTTAAAATATATATAACATATCAACCCCATAAAGTATATGCAATTATAATGTCCATTCAATAGATTACATGACCCAGAAACTTTGAAATTACATATAGACTAAATGGTAGATTTAGAATAATTTGAACCCAAGGATTTGGGTTCAAATTAGATATCTCTTAGATATTGTCTTAGTTGTGTCTACTGCTGTTAAGTTGCCATGACCACAGCAACTCTTATAAAGAAAACATTTAATTGGAGTGGCTAGCTTACAGTACAGAGGTTTAGTCCATTATCGTCATGATGGGGAGCATGGCAGTGTGCAGGCAGATGTGGTGCTGGAGCTGAGAGTGCTACATCTTGCAGTCAACAGGAAGATGACTGACACATCGGGTAGTGTCCTAAGCATAGGAAACCTCAAAGCCTGCCTGGCAGCGACACACTTCCTCCAACAAGGCCATACCCACTCCAACAAGCCACTCCCTATAAGATTATTGGGGCCAATTACATTCAAACTACCACAGAGATACAAGTTCATTGTTAGGTATTAAGGGACCCTATCTCCCATGAACAGTGTATGAAGGCTTTAATTTGACTAATGTAAGTCAAATGTTCTTAATATTGGAGTCAGAGTCAATATTTTTTAAAAGGAATGGATCAATTCACATAGGGAGTATGTAGAACAGCACTGAATGATAAGACATGGTTTTTTTCTTTTGCTTGTTTGTTTGTTTTATGATTTGATACTCTGGTAGACTAGGTGATCCATTACCACATCACTATGAAAGTTCTTGGCTAGATAACCATTCTTACCATTGAGAGAGACAAAACCATAAGTTTTGATTTGTAGGGACAAAGAGGAATTGTTCTGCTTCTGTAATCAGGAAACTCTAGAACTTGTCCTGACCCAGAGAACTTGCTTTCCTAGAAGTAACTTGGCAGATGGACTGAATAGGGATCGCAAGAAAGCCTCAATCATTTTAAATGGGAAGTTCTCTCAACTAGCTATTCTATCTCCCTTAAAAGCATTCAAGGAAATCTTCTTTCATAGAAACACAGTCCTTAAAACACTGCTTTCATAGTGTCCCATAAGTTTGGGTATGTGGTGTCTTCATTTTCGTTGATCTCTAGGAAGTCTTTAATTTCTTT